AATTAGCAGGGCGTGGTGGCGGGCACCTGAAGTCCCAGCTACTTGGGAGGCTGAGGCAGGAGAATGGCGTGAACCCAGGAGGTGGACCTTGCAGTGAGCTGAGATCACGCTGCTGCACACCAGCCTGGGCAACAGAGCAAGACTCTGTCTCCAAAAAAACAAAAAAAATTAAATAAATAAAAATATCTATAATATGGTACCTAGTATTTACCAGTGAATAAATACTGGTTCTTTCTTTCTACCCCTACCCGTTTTTCTCATTTGCAGTAACAGATACAAAGCAAACATCTCACTGGTGGTTTATTATGCTGTATTCTGTGAGTTTTTAGCTATAATTAGTGAAAGATCTATTAAAGATGAGATGCCTGGAGAGAAGTCAAAGTAGAAAGAGAAAAGGCTTATATGCAAGTAAAGCTCTTAAAAGGGCCCACATTGGAGGTTCATAGCATCTCCAAAGAGTCTTAGGACTCGAGGATTAAGCAGCTAATGAAATAGCACACCTAATAAATAACAACACAGTGACTAATAATAAAATTATTGTTTTTATCATTTTGGAGAGAGAAAATAGGGGAAAAATCACATACATTAACAGTCCATGATGCCAAGCTCCTGAAGAGTAAAAGTTTACCAGCTAAGAGGGATGTTCCCCTCAGTTTGTTTTATCAGTATGAATGAAAAACATCTGCCCCTTTACCAGCAAGTCCTCTACTCAGAAAGAACTGACCCCACACCAAGTCTGGGAGAGTGACTAGTTCAAGTGTGCAGGGCTGAAGTTTCCAAACACAGCTATTTTCTGTTGTGTATCTTCATCTCAATGGTGACATGGCCACTGCCCAAGGAACTTGTGGCAGAGATCCCAAGGTGAGGCAGCAAGAGACGTCTATGAACATTGTGCGTTAACAGTGGCTCAGAGCCTCTAGATTCATAGCTCTGCATGGTGGGCTTCTGCCTTCAACAACTCACTGGGCTTCATGAAGATGCCTTCCATGGCTTTCCAATAGTTGTTCTGACTTGGCTGGGCCATGCCATGCACCTCTTTTTGCCCACTGATAGGTCGACCATATTGTTCTCCTGTGACAGATAGCAGTACCTCAGTGGAAGAGTGTTTGAACCGCACCTCACCATCTCTCACCCAGTAGGGTCCATTACAGAGTACTGTCCAGTCATCCAGATAATCACCTTCACCTTCCTCACCAAAAGCACTCACTTCCTGGAAAACACAGAAGGTGGTAATATTAGCATGGTTGACAAGGGCTTGAAAAGGAGTGGGAGGCAATGGGAAGAAAAAGAAGGCTACCCTGAAGTAAAAAATCAGAGGGGGCCAGGCTCATGCCTGTAATTCGAGCACTTTGGGAGGCTGAGCGGGGCAGATCACTTGAGCCCAGGAGTTTGAGAACAGCCTGGGCAACATGGTGAAACCCTATCCCTAAAAACAATACAAAAGAAATTAGCTGAGGTCAGGAGTTCAAGACCAGCCTGACCGACATGGACAAACCGTCTCTACTAAATATACAAAATTAGCTGGGTGTGGTGGCACATGCCTGTAATCCCAGCTACTCGGGAGGCTGAGGCAGGAAAATTGCTTGAACCCAGAGGCAGAGGTTGCAGTGAGCCGAGATCACGCCATTGCACTCCAGCCTGGGCAACAAGAGCGAAACTCCGGTCTCAAAAAAGAAAAGAAAAGAAAAGAAATTAGCTGGGCATGGTGGCACATGCCTATAGTACCCAGCTACTACAGCTATCGCCTGAGTCCGGGAGATCAAGGCTGCAATGAGCTGTGATCACACTACTGCACTCCAGCTTGGATGACAGAGCAAGACCCCTTCTCGAAAAAAATAAAAATTAAAAAAAAAAAATGCAGCTGCTTTCCAGTGTTTCGTTTTTTAGTTTTGTTTTGTTTTTTGAGATGGATTTTTGCTCTCGTTGCCCAGGCTGGAGTGCAATGGCGCAATCTCGGCTCACTGCAACCTCCGCCTCCCAGGTTCAAGCAATTCTCCTGCCTCAGCCTCCCTAGTAGCTGAGATTACAGGCATGTGCCACCACACCTGGCTAACTTTGTATTTTT